CTCCCCTTCTCTTCTGGCCTACAGCATCTATGCATTCACAAAGGGGACAATTAATTTAATTGGAAATTTTAGGGGAATTTGTGGTTACTGAAGGTCATTACTGGTATTTAGGGTACCAGTTCTAGGAACACAAGACTCTTGGCAATGTTTGAGACAGTCCCACAGAAGGAAGAATTATCCTAGTTCCATTCAGCATCCAACCACAGTAATGTTAAGTAAAAAACTTGATTGTAATCATTTAAGCCTAGAACTAACTTCTTTTTACATAAAACACAAATACATACTTGCAGGGTTTTTTTTTTTGCCCTGTTTTAAAATACATGAATATTTCCAGAAATGCAACTACTACGTAAACAGGGGAAGATTGTATTTACTAGAGGAAGACTGTATTTAGTTTTGTTCAGACTTAAGCAAGAGTTCTTTCCCCATTTTAGAAAATCACATCACTGAAGGTAACACAGCTCAAGTTTTTAAGACAGTAATACAGATCACCAATATCTGTAGCTATTGAGTTAATAGTGATTCTTATATATCAGCTGGATTAGTTGTGCCTGGGAGTGGTTTTATTATAAACATGTTTTTTACAATTACAATACTGTGTGTAGGTTATCTATGAACTTCATTTTAACAGAGACACTTGAAGAAAAAAAAATCAATTTTCATTTTACCTGAACTTTCTCTAGCACTTGACTTCATTACTCCCTTTTGAGGCTTTTCATCCCTATTTTCTGTGATATCAACTCCGTGATTTTCCATCTCTCAAACTCCTTTATAAGCCTGCTCCTTAAATGATGGCATTCCCCAAAGTTGCATTTTTAGTACTCACTCTACACTCCCTTTGTAGGCAATTTCATCTACTCCTATGATTTCAGACATAGCCTATGATTCACAAATATTTATGTGCAATGCCAGCCCCTCTCCTGAACTCACTCTCTCTCCATCTGGAAGCACTGAACACCCACATTTCAACATGTCCCAAATGAATTCACTTCCTTTCACCAATTTCCTATTGCAAATTAGTATAATCACCTTCCAGCCTTTCACGTCAGAACCTGAGAGTCCAAAATGACCTTTTTACCCTCTTTCCATTGTCCTCTCCTCTCCATCCCTATTCCCAGTTGATCAAACTTATTTTTCACCCAGTTACAGCAAGTCTTTCAACTGATCTCTTGTCTTCTAGTCTTGTCCAACCAAATATATCCTCCACTTGGCCACCTGAGGATCTTTCAAAACATAAATCTGTTTAAATTACAATAATCTGCATTGGGAAAGCATCAACTTCTAGTTGGTGTCTCAGAAAAAAAGCCCTTCTAATTTTTGGTGATCTTATTTGGGATCACCTCAGCCATTTGTTAGCTTACTCAAAGTATAGATTACTTGTAAAGCAATTATGGCTACAGAACATAGTTTGAGTATCATAGACTTTGACAACATAAAAGTAGTAAGATAGCTAATAAAAGGAAGTAGAATGGGAAGATAAATGATATTAAAAAGTGTAGCATCAAAAAGACTAAGAACAACAAATGCTGGCAAGGATGTGGAGAAAGGGGAACCCTCTTACACTGCTGGTGGGAATGTAAGCTAGTTCAACTATTGTGGAAAGCAATATGGAGGTTCCTCAAAAAAAACTAAAAATAGAAATACCATTTAACCCCAGAATCCCACTCCTTGAAATATACCCAAAGAATACAACTCAGATTCAAAAAGACATATGCACCCCTATGTTTATCGCAGCACTTTTTATAATAGCCAAGATATGAAAGCAACCATACTGTCCATCTGTAGATGAATGGATAAAGATGTGGTACATATATAGAATGGAATACTATTCAGCCATGAGGAAGAAACAAATCCTACCATTTACAACAATATGGATGGAGCTGGAGGACATTATGCTCAGTGAAATAAGCCACGCAGAGAAAGACAAATGCCAAATGATTTCCCTCATCTGTGGAGTATAACATTGAAGCAAAACTGAAGGCACAAAATGGCAGCAGACTCAGAGACTCCAAGAATGAATTAGTGGTTACCAAAGGGGAGGGGTGGTGGAGGGCGGGTGGGTAGGGAGGTAGAAGGGGACTGAGGGGTATTATGTTTAGTACACATGGTGTGGGGGATCACGGGGAGAGCAGCACAGCACACAGAAGGCACATAGTGAATCTCTGGCACCTTGCGGAACTGATGGACAGTGACTGCATTGGGGTATAGGTGGGAACTTAATACGGGTAAATGTAGTAACCACATTGTTTTTTCATGTGAAACCTTCATAAGAGCGATCATATCTTAATGAAAAAAAATTTTTTTAAGTGTAGAGATGCTAACTTCCTCATTTTACATACTGGAGAATTTTGAGAGAATGTCTAAAACCGATGGCTCAATAACAAAGACTTCAGTATATTAAAGTTATAAAGATAACCTAAAAAGGGCAAGGGAACTCATCTTTCTTAATGGAGGCATCAAATACTGTTCAAAGTTGAGAAATCAAGAGATTAGACCCATGGCATCTTATTTAAACTATGGAGGTAACCACCAAAAGAGAAATGGTTGATTTAGCAATTGAAATGGGGGACCTGGGTATCTTCTACAGTTTTGAACTTTTTTAACCAAGGATATGCATTGCTTTTAGACAGACTTTTTAAATGAAAAACAAAGCCTATTTCAATGAAAACTTTTACAGATTACTTTTTTCAGATATGGATTTAATTTTCCAATCACTGTACCAATAATAAATTTAATAACATTGTAAAGTTTACTAAAGAAAAAGCGAAACCGCTTGCCGTAAGATCACAAAATGATAATCTTAACTTGAAAGCAGGATTATAAGCACAATTTAAGATATACATTGATTACTAGCCATTTAGACAATGGGAACAGAGGTGACAAATACTGGGACAAGGCTGTGAGAAGCTAGAGGGAGAAATGGAGGTAATCTTTCTATAATCGTGGTAATGTTGAAAGAAATCAGTAATTGAGGGCTTCTAGCTCCTTATTTGATTTTTGCTTTACTATTTTACTTACCTTTTTTGTAAGTAAACCATCTAACTTACACTGGTTATATTCAGTAGCAGAGAGATCTTTCAGTGTCAAAGGATAAATTCGTTTCTGAAGTTGGTTTTATACACAGAATTTAGAATATTTTTGTTACAGTTGCCTCTCCTTAGCAACCCTATTTGCAAGCTTTCTCAAACTTTCACTCTCATCCATTCAACTGTATTACCACCCTCGTAGAGGAAGGATTTGGGGGTCTAAAGTGGGGCAGATATAAGCATTCTACTTGATTTTGCTTGATGGACTTAGTAAATAAAATATTTTTAAGGATGAGGAATCTTGCCAATTTGATTTTTGAACACCCTATTAATTCTTCAGGCCTCAGCTAATATAACATCTCTTGGGAAGCCTTCTCTAACAACTAGTAGTTCACTTTAGTTCCTCCCACAATGTAATCCAACACCACCCAGTATTCTGCCTATATCTGCACTTGCTTAAATGTCTCCCTCCTTCATTAAAATATAAGCATAGTGAAGGCGAGAAGTATATCTTTGTTATTTTATTATTCCTTATGCTTAGCAAAGTACCTGACATGTGATAGACTCCATAACATATTTTCTAGGTAAGATGCATGCAGCCTATGAGCTATACTTTGAGAAACATCACTTTTGGGGAAACTTCCCACCAAAGCAACAGACCTGCTTAGTAAATGGTAGTAATTATTCTAGGTTCTTGAAATGAGACGGTTGGACTTTTATCTAACCAATGAAAATGGACCAAAGACAGGTTTAGTGCCAATGAGGAAACAGTACGTTTGAAGAGCTCATAAAAGTTTCACCTCAAGACACTATATGTGTATATAAAATGTTATATTCTTAACAATTAAAATCAATTAAAGACTTACTTCAATTTTTCTACATTTTTAACGATTAGAAACAACTATGCAGTTAGAATTGCAGTTTCTGGGGTCTGAAAAAGCCAGTCAATAAAAATAAAATCCATACTGAACTGTCATGTTTTTCTTTTTATTCACTGAAGTTTTTGACAGCTCCAAACTATGTGGTATGTGACCAGTGGCATGCATGTACAAGACCTCAAGTCCAAATTTGGGGCAAGTGTAGGCAAAGCATAAAGCAAAATTAATTATGTTTAGTTTACGTGGGGCTCATATCCAGATCACTTGTCCAGTCAGCAAGTGAGACCATGATGATACATGGTCAGCAGAACAAGAGGGTTAACAACTGTAGAACCACAGGTTATAGTAGAAAGGAGGCCTTGAAAGGGTCCATGACTTGCCTTAGGCCACAGAACAAGTGAGTCACAGAGCACACCGACTGTCAGTTCTCCAGATTTTCAGTACTGCACATGGTCACAAAGCTCTTGCATAAATATTTGAACATAACAACCACTGAGGTTTTACCTCATTCATTATACACCAACAATAAAGCAAATTATAACATAACAAATTATTTAAATGTGTGCATTATGAGGATTTATCTCACATAAATTGTAAGTGAGCTCTATCATTTTGATAAATTAATAACAATAGCAAACATTTGAATGCTTATTGTATATCAGGCACTGTTCTAATCGTCTGATATGGGTTAACTCATTTAATACTCAGCAACACCCAAGCCTTACTTAGCATCCTCCCAGAGAAGAAATGGATGCAGACAGGTCAGAGTAAGCAGTGTGCCAGGACTTAGCTCTAGAAGTCTGGTGTTGGAAGCTGTGCTCCAACTACTAAATTGAACAGTCTAACAAAATAGATATTAAGCATATATATTAAAATGTAAGAGTAAATATGTCATGTTGATTGCTGTTATGCAAATGTAATTAAGTACCACCTTCTGTATTTCTCATTTCATTATCTCTATTATTTTTTAAGAAACTAGCACACCAAGTTCTTATTAAAACGTTATCTTGAAATATTCAATAAGCATTACATGATCCAATTATGTAACATATCTAAAAGAATTTTGCTCTTTTCTAATTGGATTTATTTCATTTGCATTGAAATCTGCATTAAAGTAATGACTATCTCTATATGATAGTCCTCTTAAGGAAGTTAAAAAAAACCTTATTACACTTAACAATTCCTTTATGAAACTGAACTATATCTTCATGCATTATAATATTAAGGTATAATTCCAGGAAACTAAGTAATAAAAACTAATTTTAAAAAGCTAATGTGGAGAAGTTGAGGGGAAAATCAGTATGTATTAATTTTATTGACATAAAAGCAAATTTCAAATACTGTACAGTGAAGTATGCTATAGGAACACTATACAGTTGTAATACACTATTACCAATTAGTTATTAGTCAAATGTAATATAGACAGCAACCACAAAATCAGAAAATAATGGGTAACAGCCAGGGCCTGTGGGATGATACAACATTTATACTATTTTATTGAGCAGGTAAAGCACTTGCTATTTAATTTTTTCTAAACATTTACACTATTACCACTTATTTTTACATATTCTAAATAGCATTTCCCTCCCCAAAGTAGACTCTCCAGCTCTTGGCACTAATTCTTAGACAAATAAATCTGAAAATATTGATAAACTTTTCAGTCTTTTATTGCTCTACCACAGGCATAAAGGCTCATGAAGGGATTTGTGCATTCTAAAGAGAAGTATGCAATACTTTAGAATTTTAAATACTAAGTAATTGATACTCACAAGCAGATAACATCAACTAAAACTTTTTACTAGTTTTCCTTTTACAAGAGAATAGTCATTGTATTAATATTATACTACAAAAGCATGTAGACTCCATAATTTAAAAAATTAAATTCAGATATACAAGGAATGGCATTTTCTCCAATAATTCACAAATCTTTACAATTTCTGCTATTTTGGAACAAAATGTTAAAATTCCAATTTAAGTATCATTAAATATGAATTGAAACACTTAGCATCTCAAAGAATTATTAAGAGTGGCAGAACTTACAATTAACTATAAATCTTACATTGGGAGAAAGCTCCCCTTTATTATTTTATTTCTTAAATAAACATTCTACTATGGTATGTTCTCAAGTAGTAGTTCTGATCTGAAAAATTAACTTCTAATTTAAACATGAAGAGCCTTTATTTACAATTTTGTTTAATTATATGATAACCTTGAAATGTAGGATGTCTACCCAACTTACAGTATGTATCTCACTACTACTGTTATAAAAGGTCATTCTAAATTCATAGAGCGGAGTTTAATCTGGTTTTGCAGAAGCTTTTATGAAAAACTTAATATGGAAATCTTGTTTTGAGAACCATGAGACTCTCAAAATATGCTCTGCAGTATTTTAAATATTGACCAATTAAAATTCCTGAAAAATGAAGATAATACTGTACTGATATTCTGAAATGAACTATTGTCACTATATTGGCCAAAGTGTAATTAATAACAGAAGTTCCAAGTTTACCACATACCTAAAGGTTAGTTGTTAGGCCTAATTTGTTAGAGAAATGTTCACTAGCAGCCAGTATTAGTAGGTAACTACATAAAATAATACTGTTATAAATTTTGCACTCAGTAGCTAACATGTGGTGTCAATACAATTCTCAACAACCTGTCATTAGTAGTATATGAGTTACCACCAAGTGATCTTCCCTGAGTAAGAGAACATATGCACAAGTCTGCTTATTTCCAATATCGTTAGATACTTAAAAATAATGGCAATAAGGACCTGTGGCTGGGAATCACAAATGTATTTCAGATTGGTATCTTAATTGCAAGCAGTAGGTGTGATTTTAAAATCCAAACTAAAAATGTTTAAATATAAAGCAAATTTCACGGTCAATAGCATTTGCTAAATTTCTCAGGACTTTCTCTCACATTTTCCAATAGAATAACTGAAATATAGTCAAAGGGGAGAAACTGGCCTTGAGCTTGCTCTTTAACTAATTCCTGAGTAATTATTCTCGTGGAGTTCTAGCTCTTAATATTTGGCAGTATCTTGTTTTCTTCCATTTCAACCAGTTTCTCAGTACCAGTTTTCTAGACATATACCACCTCTAACTCTACCTGGACTTTGGGTCATTAATTCAGACTTGGTATGATTAACTAGAAAATGGATTACTGAAGAAAAAAATGTAGGATTTTACTTGATTTTCAGTGAAACACTACAAATAGAATTATAGGATTGAATTTTATATAGGTAAGAATCAAGGGCTAAAAAAGTATTCTGGACTTATGATCTCTAGCTTGAACTCCAATTTGTGGTGATCACAAAAAGTACTACTAAAAATAATCACTCTACAGTCATATATTTGATTATGAGAAGCATGTGAAAGGACAAAGATGATAATTAAGAACTAAAAGAAATTCTAACACTTCTTTGTGAAAATGATACCTGGCCCACTTCTCAAAAACTATTAATTACCCCAACCTAATTTAAGCTGATTTAAAATAATTTCAGGAAATCTGGCCATTATCAGAATCAACTCTTTCCTTTTTTAAGGGAGAACCCAAACTATTATAATATGCATACCTAACTGGCTTCTAAATAACATTGCTGTGAAAAAAGAAATTAATAGTGTGGCAGAGATGAAGCCCTTCTTATGTTCACAGGTGCATTCTAATTTGAATTTATATAATAGAGATAAAATTTGCTTCTGGTATTTTTGCTTTATCCTATAAGAGTATATTTGTCCGTATTAACTAAACATACCAAGCCACAGGTGAAGAAAATATTTGTTAAAGAAAAGGTGATTATAATTTACCTGGAAGCAGTGCATTTGCTTGTTAACAGTTCATCTGTATTTAAATTTAAAAGGCATGTTTCAGTGGCTGTAAAAGCCAAAAATAATTATAGTGGTTAGTGATATTTGTAATTTTTAGTACAATACACAGAAACAACCTATAATAACTAAATGGGAAATATTATTTGGTAGCTGAAGTTCTTTATGCAAAACTAGTATACAATGTAAAAGTTTTAAATTTAGAAATTTAGAAGAACAAAAATAAAATATGGTTTAAAAAATGTGATGTGATAAAAGTAACCCAAATATGTATCTTGCTCAGTTACCACCTGCAGAATGTCTAGATTCTCCATGCTTTCCTTCTTCAAAATGGAGTAGTTTATTTAATAAATGGATTCAGTAACACTTTCACAGAAAGAAAACGAAAACCTCCCTTATTTGAAAACACAAGTTGAAGTACTGTCTATATTCCTTATGAATCAACAGGTTGAGATTTTTAAACACCTAATAATGTATTTTCTAACATATATTTCCCTAGAATGCAACCACAGTTCTGCATCTGTTACATGTGCAAACAGAGACAGCCAGGCTTTGAATGCTCTAAATAAGAGATTGTATTAACATACATTTTGCCTTTCATCCATTCGAATTCAATTTAATTTCAATGGACAGAGGAAAAAGATGGATTGAAATGTACATTTCAGAATACAGATTTGCAGAATAGGATAAAATAGTGCAACACCAATCCCAGAATAAACATTCTTTATCTTTAAGGAATAAGCATGAAAGCTGCTTGTGGAAAACTGGCACTAAAGATTTGATGAACACAGTATTTAAGCAAATGCCCAGGTTGATCAGGGTATGATGCAGTGAAATTTGCATCCAAATTCAAGTGAAGCCAACAAATAAAGAAAATCTCATAGATTTTAAGAAAAGGAAACATTTTTGGTTCAAAGACACTTAGCATTTACAAGCTTAAATATCACTGATCAAAAATGCAGAACAATGTAACTCATTCATAAAGATACATTCTTATAAAATGTGAATCTGATAAACTCTACAAATTAGAGATTAACTACTGCTACCATTATTTTTATATTTTTTACCACACTTTGAAATCAATTTTTCTGCAAGATTAAAGAAAAAAAAATTCAGTGGACTTGACCAGGCCAGGATTAAAAAAATAATGGTAACACATTATCAACAGAGCACACAATTGGCTATTTTGGCTCAGACAGCAACATAACTTAATCACATTGACTTTATCATTCTAGAATAGATTATTTTCCCCCAACCTTGATCAAACCAGCAAAATGTGTATCATTAGACTGTATCCTCAAGAAATTTCACCAAGAATACATCTCTATGAATGTGTTTATGTTCATGGAAATGTCAAGATCTCAGTGTCTAATAAATCCGTTTATGAATTTTACGATACACTTTAGTTCAGATAACCTTCAGATTTACATACATCTTTTGACACACTAATAAATATGTGGTTTACCCTGTTGACATCACCATTAGCAAAATATCCCCCCCCCCAGCTCTAGCCTTTTCAGAAATCAAACATATTTAACAAGAGAATTTTCAAGGTTGAACATTAAGACTTTCATGGAATTAAAATGACAAAGAACTTCCAATGAACCACATATAGGGAAGAAACTCATCTCAGCAGATCTAATAACTAATTATAGGAAAACAGAACCAGCCTGGGCAGTAGGTATATTAAAAGCTATTGCCAGTCACACACTTGCTATCATGCACTGAATAACAAGATAAAATCTTTGAATTACATACATACAAGATTTTTAATGACTACTCAAGTTATGTGGCCCAGTCAACAAATATGACATACTTCTAATTAAATCAAGAGTGATCCATTGGCTCAATTGTGTTTGTCATCTCAGCATCTTGACTATCCATCTCTTCAGGCTCCTCCACAGAATTCCCTTTTTGTGCTTTTGACCTTGTGGCAAATGCTGCTCCCAGTGCCTCTGTCACACAGCTATCAGTTGTTACTGTATTCATATTTTCAGTGCCACCAGTTAAAGAAAAAGATTCACATAAGCCAGTCTGAAGACTACCAGACTTCACAGAAGAACTCACAACTTCTACTTTTCTTTGAGGAAGATCAGATGGTGACTGCTCCGTACTTTGATCCCGCAAGTGTTTGTCCATAGAAGCCTGAATAGAAGAAACCATTTCCTGCAACTTTTTTCTTTGGGCCTCAACCAAATCAGGATTCAGCTGCCTGCTCTCTCTCATTGTAACTACTCCAGGAGCTATTCGAATAAGCTCACTGTTACCAGGAGCAGCTGTAAATACAGAAGGCTCTGTTTTAATGGAACTATTACTAAAGTCTGTCCCCGTGTTATGCTTCCTTACAACTGGAGCTTCCCTAGCTCTTGGATCAAGGTGTAGGTTACTAGACGCAGTTCCTAGAGAATGCCCTTTTCCCTGAAAGGCAGTTACATTATGAAGTTGCTCAGATTTCTTTTTCACTACTCCACCACTACCTAGTTTTAATAGCCCATGTGAGGGACTTGATTCCCTACTTCTTGTAGTAGCCTCTGCTCGAACCTGACTTACAGCCTCTTTAACTAAATCTTCAACATCAGGACCAATGGGGAAATGTCCTGCAGCATCCACACACAATTCCAGTCTATCTTCAGAAGCATTATAGACAAAGGTTTTGCCAGGCAGATGTGGAAAAGTACAATGCTTGCCATCAGCCATACCTAAAGAAGGGAAAAAGATGTTCAAAATATTAAAATCTTGCTTAAACAGTATAGTAAAATCAATTATAGCTGAAATAGTGGATTTTCAATAATAATTTACAGAGAACAGCTTTCAAAACAAAATTATTTAGAACATTTATTATATTTATTAGCAGAATATAATACTATTACAAATAAGAAATACTACCATAGACCTGAACATAGTCCCCAAAGGGGATTTTTTAAACTATTAACTTATTACAAAGTTAGGAAAGGGGCTTGAAACAAACAGCTGAGCTGTAAGGAGAGCATTAAAAATGTTAGAAAAGCAACTGCTTATAGTGAAGCAATAAAAAACGTACTTTTATTTACTAAAATTTAAATTATTATAAACTTTGTAAAATACCTATAAGGGCAAAGTGTTGTATAAATATGTTGCATAGTGTTTAATTACAAATCATAGATAATTCTATTGAGTTACAGAATACTAGAATATAAGCTGTTTTCTCAGGTGCCACAGGTATATATTTTTTAATACAAAAAATATGAATTTTCAAAATAAGAGATTCTATAGTTAAAGCAGTAGTAATGGGGGTACATCTAGGAAAGCTAAGATTAATGCACTGTGACTTCAGTATAAGTGCAAGAACTGATACTTGGGAAGAACTAATTAAAAAGATCTTATTCAATTCCTTTGAAATAGTTGTGATTTCATAGTTAACTTATGCAGCAGTAGAGGGCAGGAACTTTAAAGCAGGCTTCTCTTTATTTTCTAGTTGAGAACTCTGGTCTCACTACATCACACTCCAAAATTTTATACTTTTCCCAGCCTGGGTATACTAACTGTGTGCGCATTTTAAACTATCCAAAATCTCACATTTTAAATTGGTCACTATGTATACTCCAAGTATGTGAAAACAAGGGTTTTCAAATTTTATCAAATCATTAATTTTTTATGTTAAAAAAAGTACAGAACTTTTAATAATATAAGGTATACATTGCTAAGTTTATGGCAAAATATAAAGGCAAAAACAAACTAGGTAAAAATGAATTAAATTGTAAGTGCTATAGAAATTCAGAGGAGGATGAATGAACTCTCCTCATCCTCTGTGGGCCTTTAGGTAGTCTCCAGTTTTGTAAGTTATTAAGAATAGTTCCTTCCTCCTCTGAAAAGAGCTATAGAGTGGTTCTAATGTATCTCATTATGAATATACTGAAAAAAAAAAACCCAGAAAAGAACTAAACTGCAGGTAAATAAATAACATACAGTATTTTTAAATATTCATTTCAATGGTACGTAAGTATCAATTAATAAAAGTCTAAGCAGAATTTCCTCTCGGCACAACATTTGGCAAAGATAACTGACAAAAACAGACATACAAAAATTAAATCAGAGATGTGGTCTAAACAGTACCTTTTAGGGCACAACCTTGGAAATCAGTTTACTGTCTACTAATCCCTTACCTTAGAGATCTGTAAACCATGGTTCATTAAACAAAGGTAGTAAAGACCAGAATTTTGAATGGTAAGGACAGGGATGCCCTTAGGCAAAGCTTTAGAACATTCATTTCAATAGACAACATCTATTAAGCTTCACTATGTGCCCAGAACTAAAATAGACCATGAAGGTTAAAAAATAAAAAGTAATTATTAGGAGAGGGACACAAACAGATCATTTTAACACAATCAGGTAAATATGTGTACTACTCATTTTACTGATTATTTGAGGATTAAATAAGAAAACATGCAAAGCACATAATACAGTGCCTAATATAAATCAGGCATTTAACACAAATATTTAATTCCTCCATTTAACACAAATATTTAAAAGTTACCAGTGGCATTTCCTATTTCTATAGTTTCTAGGCTTTATATATTATTGAAAAGCCTTAAAATATATATTTAAAAAATCAAAGCAAATAGTGTTGTGATTCCTTTAAGCATAATCATTTAGATTTTATGTAACTTAGATCATCCTTTAAATTTTAAGAATCAAGGTGTAACAACAGAGTATTATTCAGCCATTAAAAAAAACAAAAAAACAAGAAATCCAGCCATTTGCAACAACATAACAACATAGGTGGTCTAGAGGGTATCATGCTCAGCAAAATAAGCAGATGGAGAAAGACAAATACCGTATGATTTCACTTATTTGTGGAATATAAATATGAAGCAAAACAGAATAAACAAAACAGCAGTAGAATCATAGATACTGAGAAGGCACTGGTGGTTACCACTGGGGAGAGGTTGGGGTGCGTGGGGAGGTTAAGAGGGGTAAAGGGGCACAAAAATTCTCAATCAGTGTAGGTTGGTCATGGGGATGGTAGTACAGGATTTAAAATATACCCAATGATTCTGTAACATCTTCCTATGTTGACAGATACTAGCTGTACTAACGGGGGTGAGGATTTAGTAATATGGGTAACTGCTGAACCACTGTGTTATATACTTGAAACTAATATAAGATTGTATATCAAAAAAAAAAATTAAAAAAAAAAGAATAAAGGTGTATTAAATTTTCTCTATCACAATCAACAATTCCACTACACATCTACACTAAAAGACATGTATACTAATATTTATAGCTATGTTCTTCCTTACATCAAGAAACTGGAAACTATCCAAAAGTGCATCAGGAGAATAATGGATGAATTATATTAAAATGCTATAACAGAATAGTATGCAGCAGTGAAATAACCTATAATTGAATTCATCAAATTGAATGCATCTGAAAAAGTATCACATAAAAGAAGCAGTCTTCAGAGAATGTATACAGCATAATTCCATTTTTATAAAATTTAAACACAAGCAAAACTGAATATAAAAATAGCTATACATGTGTTAAAAGTAAATTTGTCAGTCATCCCTTTATTTCACTATAAAGACCTGCAAGGAAATTTAATCCAATATAAGCAAATAATTTTTAAAATACCTTTTCAAATATAAATAACAGAAATATTAATCATCTAGTTTATTGGGCAATATTTCTCTTCAAATGTATATATGACCATTATCTGTTAGGGTAGATTTGAACAAATTAAGAGTAGTATGTTCTTTTCTAATTTTTTGATGGCCTGGATATATTTTGGGGGGTGAAGAGGGCTTGCTATGCTTTGATTCTTTGACCACAGAACAATAATAATGATTTGCCACAAGAATCTGTCCTAAAAATAGAAATAAAAATTTACCACAAATATTAGAAGAAACTGTATTTTGAAAGGTAAACTTTTTCTAACAATGAGCCATTTCAAATGGCTGTGTAAAGAATTTTCAATATTCTGTAAATAACAGCTAGAATTCTAATAATAATAACAAACATTAGCTAAGTATTTATTAGGTACCAGGTCCTTTGCTAACTGTTTTATGTGCATGATCTCACTGGATCCTAACAACATCCCTGATATTATCAAACGCACTACTTTATTTACAAATAAAGGAATTGATATAAGATTGTATAACAATAAAAAAAGAATTTTAAAAAAGTCACACAGGGAGTAAGTGGTGGAACCAAAATTTAATCTCAGGCAGTCTTACACTACAGCTCTAAAATACCTCCTACTAAGGATAAATACCATAGGTCACATTAAAAAAACAACAGCTCTACTGACATCTAATTCACATACAATTTACCCATTTTAAGCATTACAATCAAATGGTTTTTTAGTATTTTCGCAGTTATGTAAGCATCACCAACATCACTTTAAAACATTTTTATCACCCCAAAAAGAAACCCTGAACCCATTAGCAGTCACTCCAATGTCCTCTCCCACTTCATTTACAACCCTAGGCTACCACTGGTTTATTCTGTGTCTCTCTAGGTGTGCCTGTTCTGTGATATTTCATATATATGGAATAAAATACAACATATGATCTTTTGTGATTGGCTTGTTTCATGTAGCACAATATTTTCAAGGTTCATCCATGATGTAGGTACGAGGATTCCATTCCTTTTTATTGCCAAATGATACTCCATTGGCTGGACATACCACTTCTTATTTATCCAATCATCAACTAAAGGACATTTGGGTTGTTTCCACTTTTGAGTATTATAAATAATGCTATTATAAACATTTGTGTACAATTTTGTAGGACAAGTTTTCATTCCTCTTGGGTATACACCTAAGAGTGGAATTGCTGGGTTGTATAGTAACTCTATGTTAAATTTTTTGAGGTACTACCCTCAGACTCTTTTCCCAAGTGGCTACGCCATTTTACATTGCCACCAGCAGTATACAAGGGTTCTAATTTCTCTATATCCTTGCCAATAGTTTTTATTATCTGTCTTATTGATTATAGCCATCCTAGAAAGTATAAAGTGCTATCTCATTGTGGTTTTGATTCACATTTGCCTGATGGCTAAAATAATTTCAAAACAGAAACATAAAACCATTCAGAAAATAATCTAGAGAATCATCCCTAAATCACCCACCATCATCCTCCTATACACAAACAACGTTGGAGGGGTGTTATTTTCAGTTTTGTTAAAGACAGTGCATACTTAACCAAATTACTGGAATACCAATAGTCAATCTTAATTAGGTACCACCTTTTAAAAAACTATTACCTGGTATCAATATATTTCAGAAGGTAGAATGAAGTAAAAGATGGAAAGTTAAAAAGAAAAGGATGCAAACAAAAAGGGGGAAAGAATGCTCAGAGAAAAATTTATAGCTTTACATGCTTACACTAAAAAACAAAAACTTAGAATCAATCTAAGTTTCTACTTAAAGAAACTAGAAAGAAAAGTGCAAATTAAACCCAAAGCTAGCATAAGGAAGGAAAAAATTAAGAGCAGAAATCAGTGAAACTGAAATCAGAAAAACAATCAAGAAAACCTATGAAACAAAAAGCTATTTCTTTGAAAAGATCAATAAAACCTATAAACCATTAGCCAAAACAGGTCAGCAAAACAAAAAAATTGTTAAATTGGTTATCAAAATTGGAAACTTCTAATCTTCAAAAGATACTGTTAAGAGACCAGTAAGATAAGTTACAAACCTGGATATCTGCAAAACACTTGT